TATATATATATATATATATATATATATATCGCCCATCCTACGGCGTCACTTGTGTAGTGCCGTATCAACAATAAATAACCTAATAGTTGCATCAATTAATCCGCTCCCCACTGACCTATGCTAGAACACAGCTGAATACCTGCCTCCACTGGGCGACTGGCAGTTGCATGCGCTGGTAGCTCCCACTTTGGCATCGCTGCTGTGCCTTGAGGCCTTGCCCAAAGTGAAAAGCCTAGCATTCAGTTTAGCTGGCCATTTGGTAATACGAGAATTTCTGCGGCAAAATCTGGTCACGAACACAGAGCCTAGTACCACCGACTTCACGTTCTGCATCTTTTATGATGCACTGCAAGACATTTAAGGAGTGTAAGAAAGGCGCACCCAAGGGTTCAAATCCATAAGCAGGGGAGAGAATGACACATGAAATCCCGCAAATTACGGCAGTCCACATGTGTGGAGCTGATAGGGCGGCAAAGGAAGAAGTGGACAAGCATATTGAACCGCTACTGAGAAAGCAGCATCATGCCCAGATGAAACAATTACCAACTCAAGAAAACGGCAAGGTGTCAGATGCTCTGCCTAGGAGCCCTTGTCAACAGACTGCCCCGACTGCGCCGCAAGGAACAGCTAAATCCTCGCTGACATTGAGGTTAGCTCACCTTGCTGACTGCTACTAAGTGGTCTTTTTGTTGAATCTAGACAATAATCGGAACTCTAGAAGGACGAGCCTTGCGTTGCAGCACAGGGCAACTAGCCACGAAGGTAGACGAAACTCGTGTCGGTGATGAGAAACCTAATCATCAACTACGCCGAAGTCCACTTGTCAAGAAAAGCTCCTCATCGTCCCGCCACGGATCCCAGTCATCATCTTTGAATCGCTTATGTGTATATGGTGAGCAGAGCAGCAACCGTTTGAGTTCAACCACATCGCCAAGGGGTAGGCGCCTTCCCATTTTGTAGACTTGCAGAGCAGCAAAAAGACGTTGTCGTAGTATTGCCTGGACTGCTGCACAGTGCCGGCTGTGCTTTCGGAAAGGTTTTGGGGGCATATCCAGAGCAAATGCTGCTACAAATCGATCCCACCACAAATGCAACTGCATTCGGTTCCCAAGGACTTGAGCTGCAGAAACGAGGAAGTCGAACGCCAAGAAGTGTATCCCCAAGGTTGGGAGGTCCCACATAGTGTCTGCAAATAAGGCCCTTGAGCGAACTCTTACCAATAAACTGTGCACCAGCTCCTCCAGTGAACGCATGAGAGTATTGTAACCACTTTGGTCAAGAGCCGGCCGCATATACAGCTCTCGTAAAGCGGCTAAAATTGTGGTAGTAGGCTGATACTTCCGTCGGTGGGCAAGAGCAACAGCGGACACGTCAAAGTCTCTTAGTAAAACGCCATCCTCCAGCACTGGTAGCCGCACAAACGGATGGGTTCTTGTTGCATTACTGCTTGGCGAATCATCACCTCCCTCATCGCACGGTCGAACAGCCAAAGCAGCGGTTGACGGCTCTTCGCCTCCTGAATAACCACCACCTAAGCCCCATAGCGACTGCCCCTGCTCCCGGTGTTCCTGCATACCAGTGATATCTGGAATCTTCTCAAGCCACGCGTCTGGTTCGAGATATGGGTACTTCCCATCATCACCGTCGCCTTCAGAGGATACCGATGACGAACTTCCATGCACAGGCACAATCCCACCCTCTTCACACTCCAAAAGTCCCTGTTCATTCAGACCGGATTCACTCGGCTGCCCTTGAGTTGGAGGCGTGGAGGTCGGAGAGGAGGATGTTCCACAACAGGTCGATTGCGGCCCTTGTGTTGATTCAAGCTCTGCCGCAGCCTCGGAAAACAATGTCACGAGCTCCGCGATTCTCCTTGATCGGCTCCTGTTAGAAGGTAAAGCTGCTCCTGGAAGTGAAACACCCATGTCCTCCTGCAAATCTAAGCATTCGTCCAAAACAGACTGTTCATTTTCGTCGATGCCTTTGCCCCTACCCGCCAGCCTGCGGCCGACCGCTACGGCCCCTCGTTCTCTGCTATGAATTGACACACATACTGACCAAACCATTAAAAGTAATAGGATGGAAGCTGAGGTTGCCAATGAAAGAAAAAGCGGACTTTTTCGAGATCGTGTTTTGCTGTGATGACTGAGTTGGTTTTGATTGAACGCTCCTGTCCCGGCAAGCGTAACCGCGCCTGGAGAGGAAATTCGAGAAGGTGTTTCTGCATAGACAAATTTATCTAGCATCTGTAAATGGGATAATTTCAAGACTCCGCCGTGCTGCTGGTCTTTTGGCGAGTCGCGAGCACCGGCAGTCTGCATTTCGCATGCGAGTATCTCACGGACCGTTGTTTTGATGAAGTTGGTTAGGATTACGGCTTAATGCCGCATTTCCTCTCTTCTTCAAACTGAAAATGACACGTAAATAAAGCTACGTTGATGCATTCTTCATGAAGCTAAGCCGCCTTTGGTGAAACGCTCTGTGCTTTTCTGCTCAGGTGACTTCAATCGCTTCTGCCGTCGCAGTCATAGCAACATTGCTGTACGAAAGTTGCTGCTCGCTCCGCAGTATTTCAGCGCTTAGTGTACATAGTACAGATAACTTTTTCTTGCATTCTACCTTCTACTGCTGACAGTCTTGCAATTTGTCTCTGCTACAACGAGCCGGAGCTGCAACTGTTGGGTACTGTCTGAGCGACATTCGACAGGTCGTGAGTTGAGTTGGATACAGCTTTCGAGTGTATATCGTTCGATGCATCTTTGGATTCCCATTTGAGACTTTCCTTCGGCACTTTGAAACCCTCAGAGCTAGATCTCCTCCTACGGCGACTCTCCCCAGAACTATCTTCGTGTTCTGACGGAGATGATATGCGGCTGTTCCCGTATCTCTCACAGACTATCGGTCCTTCTCAGCTAGAGCGTTACAATTGCTGCTTCATCTGTTGTGGAAGCTGTAATAAAATAGGGCGGACCTTTGCATTTGTGTCCCCTGAATTTCCCGGTAGTCAATTATGTGCAAATACGCTAGACCACGGTGCGTAAGGGATGCTCATTCCCCAGCCCCAGCTGTGCATTGTGGTGCTAAATTGAGGTCTGTATCTGTGCATTAGCCCACGGGTTTGAATGTACAGTGTAGGCTGACCTCCTCAGCTGGAGGTTCACTACTTGCAGCTTTCAAGTACACCCTACAAAGTGGCGGAAGGGTAGATGTGTAGGAGGGCAGTGGCTACTAACCTCGTGAAGAGGATCGGCCTATATTAGAATATACGCACTGGCATACATTGAAGCCTTACGGTTTTGCAAAAGGAATTCGTGGTTAGCATGGAGGCTCCTCCAGGAGCCTTCAGGTTAGCCACGAAATCCTGGTGTGACAAATGCTCCTGGGGGAGTATTTGTAACACCTCACTGAAAACACCGAACAGATTATTGCCCCATACGCGTGTTAGCTGGTTATTGAACTGCATGTGCTGCACGGCCACGCATGCGAAATTTATTGTTTCTCTGCAATTGTTTCTCTGCAGCATCCATTATTATTATTATAAGTAGAAAGAGGGCACAAGAATGTTTCACAAAATGGTGTGACTACCTCAGATTTCCCAGCCAGCTCTACCTCAGCGCCCCATACGCGTGTTACCTGGTTATTGAACTGCATGTGCTGCACGGCCACGCATGTGAAATTTATTGTTTCTCTGCAGCATCCATTATTATTATTATAAGTAGAAAGAGGGCACAAAAATGTTTCACAAAGTGGTGTGACTACCTCAGATTTCCCAGCCAGTTCTACCTCAGCAAAGGCGGGTCCCAAGGGGGATCCCCGTGCACCGTTTGTGTTGGGCGTTTCGCCAAAAGAATTTCAAAACGTGAATCCCGCAGCTGCCTTCACAACGTCTAAAGGTGCCACGTACGCACACCTGCCATCCTGTGGGTACTGCCTGGCTGAGACTACAGTACTTCACAGCATACCAGAGTACAAGCGCGGCACAAGTCTGCAACAACATTGCACTTCGAAAAAAGCGCAACCCTTTGTGCGCGTTAATTCTATGGCTAAGGAACGCCTAGGCGTCCAACCTCCAATAACTGGGTGAGGCTCTTTGCCAGTGGAGCGTCTCCGCACTGTGCCGTCGCAGCAAATGCTTCGACTAGCCACAGCACGGTGAGCCTTGCTTAGCGGAACATGCTTTTCCCGAGCAACTCAGAAAACTCGTTTCTCATTGTTCACAGTCCTCTCCTTCGGTTCCACCCTTGGGAAGTGATGCACGATGCTCCTGCTGAAATAATATATGATCTGTTCTCCAAGGTTCCCATTCAGGGCTTCTAAATCGCTGGGGTGCGAACTTCGAAAAAAACAGCTGTCTCTTCAGCTCAAGCACCATGCTTAGCGGTGGGCGGTTTCCCGTTTTGTAGATCCTCAGGGCTGCAATCAAGCTGTTCGCTAATTGTGTGTTGAATCTTGCGTTTCCCCGGGCCCTTTTGCTTGGTTCGGGGAAATAATAATCCACGTCGAAAAATGATATGAATTGATTCCACCACAGAGGTAGCTGCATGGAATTCCCGAAAATCTGAATTGCAGACACTAAGTAATCAAATACCAAAAAGTACGTGCCAAGGGTTGAGGCAGCAAACAGGGGTCGTCCCTGCCTTCGGCTCGTTCTTGCTCTTCGTCCTGTTTTGCTGGCTAACTGTTCCAAAGCACGGACAACTTCATCCGCGTCCTGCTGGTTGAGGGTACGCTTGGCAAATAATTTCCGCAAGATGAGAAACTGAATATGGGACGAGATGTCCATTCTTATTGTTCCCAAAGCTCCTTTTGGAAGAAGGCACTTGGGAACGACAGTCGGCTCCAGCACGGGCAACCGCACATATGGATGATCCTTAATGAGATGATCCAACTCCATGTGTAGTGCGTTGCTCGTGCTGGGGAGGTATGGCATAGGCAACATTGCATCTGTATCCATTGCATTGCTATATGAAGCCACAGGGTCCTCATCCTGGGATTCCGCCTGAAAATCTCCGACTGGAAGTATGTCTTCTATGTCTTCTACCCAGGAGTCAGGGTTCAGGGCAGGATACAAACTCGTACTGCTACCTCCTCCAGATGCTGCCCCCAACGAAGCCATGGGGTAAAGCCCAGCATCTCCTTGGTGTTCTGATAGCTGGTCACTTAAGTGCTCCTGTTGATTGCTACGGCTTACAGGCTGCGCTGCTGCGGACTCACCCCACGCCGAGTACTGCTCCGCAGCTTGCATCGATTCATGGGCTGCGGCACTCTCCGCGAACATTGACGCCAGCTCGGATATTCTCTCTAACTCGTTGCTACTAGAAGGAAACACTGGCTCTGGGGGCGGAAGTCCTAATTCCTCCTCCATCGCCAAGCACTCTTCTATGATGAAGAGGTCATTGTCGTTGATACCCTCACCATTGTAAGACAACCTGCGGTGATTCATCCCCAATTTCTGTCTCTTGGTGTGAAAAGCTTTGCATGCGGCAACTATCAGTATAGCTGTGAGGAACGGGACTGCAACCATTAACAAGATACGCAGTGAGCGATTCCGACTTGTAGAACAAGAACGGTGAGCGAGTGGGGCCTGAAACTGCAATGACGCCTTGCCTAAGTAAGGCAAATGTACTGTTGCACCTTCTTCAAAAGCTCCATTTGTCGACTTTGATCGTGGAGAAGCGACTCCCGTTTCAAATTGGTCGTTCGCTGGCACCTGTTCCTGATCGCGGAAAGCAAGCATGGTTCCGAGCAAAAATCGCCTAAATTATGCAACAGGAAAACTTGCTGGAGAACCCACAGTAAACCTAACTGTGTAATTAGGCATTATCAAATGGAACGAATAGAAGGAGGAGTGACACGAGATGTAGGCGGGAGAAATGAGATGAAGGCGCTCCTCTCGGGTTTTCTCCTCATGGAGATGTCAGATATCGTGAATTTGCTTTCTACCCTCCTTTCACGGTTAGAAGTCTACAAAAAAAATGAAAGCTACAAATCCGTGTACACTGTGATGATTGAAGCATTATGGTGGTACAATCTGCCGCTGTGGAGATGATCGTTCGTGGATCGGCTGCGCTCGAAAGTGTGCCCTCTACGTGGCACCGTTTCCGGGGGGTCACATCTGCAAGCGTAATACCCGCAAGCCTATCAGCCAAACAGTTTGTTATATAACATACAGAAAATCCACCATTACACCCGACTATCAGTTAACCATTGAATATGAAACTTTTTCTATTTTCCACTGCCAAAATGGGCAGGAGCTGCATGCGGTCATCGCTGTCATCCCGCGGGCAGGGTCAGTGGCACGACACGTGCTGCTAGGTGTCCACCCCCGACAAACAGCCACGAATAGCAGGTATTCTACCATATTATTACTATTATTTTATATTCCTCACAACAAATCTAAACTTGCCTTAGATGCTCCAATATGTACCTACTGGCCAGTGTCGCAGGGCATGTAGTGGCCGGCAGTTAATGCCCGATCGCTGAGCATGAACTTTCGCATCAAATTCCCTCCCTATTCACCCCCTACGGCGTCTAAACAGACATAGAATTTACATTATAGCAATGCTTGCAAGGATGCGTCTTTGAACTTCCCCTCGTATTGTGCCTTTCCTTCCTCCTGCCGAGTGCTGTCTGTCGGAAAGCAGTGCCCGGAGTTTCGACGATGCGGCCGCTCCTGCCCACCTATTAAATTTTCAAGAGCAACCCTAGGCGTTGCTCAAATAGTCCCAAGTACCCTCAGATACAACAGTGTATATGACTGAAAACTTGCATTTTAAACGAACGACAGGAGCACACTGAACCCAACAACCTTATAGCAGTAAGTGAACAAAGGAAAACTACCGTCCAAACCCGAGGTCGATCGTTGTGGCCCTGTGCTGTGTATGGCATAGTCTGTCCGACTTCGGCAAGCTGGACATGCCCCTAACCGGCACCAAGCAAAGGAGGGGAATCCGACTGCCTAGCAAGCAGAAGCCTTCTACAGTTGTCTATTGTGTTACTCCCTGCAGCAAAGAAGGCTTTGTTGTGCTTGCAGGAGGGGAAATCTTGAACCTTTAGTCGCAGCATCGTGCGTTGCAACTTACCGTGCACACTTCCTGTAGTGCTCGATGGACCTCCCACCTGTACCTGTAGCCGCCTAACCCGTTAGACGACACAATCTAATGTAGTATAATTACTTGATGTACAACAAAAGTCACTTGATCGAGAAACAAGGCCAACCAGATACGAGTGCTCAGCAACCTGCCAGGGCCTTCGGGCTGCCCGCGTAGGGGAGATACGGACCTCGATGGCGGGTCAGGCGGAGAGAGATCATACCTTCTATCTTCCGCAGACGTAAGTGGACTGGGATGTGTTTTATGCCAGCATGCTCACAGGACTATACTTAGTGGCAGCTTAGGCGATTTTGTGAGCTCTACTGGGCACTCAAGAGGGGCTGAGGATTGGAAGGTTGGACCTCCTCGCAGTATGCCCGTTGACTATAGAGTGATTCGAGCTAGGTCTTCGAAGCAGGCCTCGGGTCCCCAGCAATATGTAGTTGCATAATGGCAATGTATGCTTCTTGGAGGAGCCGCCTACAGTAGTGCTTGTCTGTAAATTTAGGCATTTTGGTGCATCTTCCTGGCTGCTGCCAGTTCCATCTTCTTATGCGTTTCTGGGTGTTGCTGACAGCAGCTAACCGAACAACCGTAGGTTCATCACCCAGACAGTTTCCCAATTAGCTTCCTAGCTCTTCGGCTGGGGTGGCAAAAGTTTGGAGAGAGGAGTTGACATTTTCGTGACCGAGCCCTTTACGTCCTTTGGATGATATTCTATCACCAGGGAGATGTCAACAGTTCCCCTTCTTAGTTCCATCTCCGAGGCGCTGCCGGTTACGGATTGCCTTACTCCTGGGGCTAGGGCGGCTTCAACCCATTTATGCACTGTTTTAAGCTGAGCCCGCCATTTGGCGTTAGTTCACCGGCTTCCGATACTTATCAGTATAGCGCTCAATCGAGAGCTTCCCACTCTTATACTTCCCTCACTGCGCCGTGGCGTGCTACGTTGTCTTCCAGGAAGTAAACTTACGGCGTGGCGCATGCCAGGAAACCTCCATTGTCTGAGTGTACCCCCTTGGCAAAGTAATATTCTGCGTTTATAAACTTTCAGTCTCTCGTCAGCTTGGTCTCGCACCTCGTGCCCCGGTGTTGTCTGCTTGCGCTTTGCCTTTGCACCCCGCCCACTGTCTTCATCTGAAAATCCTGTCCCTCTGATTTTGCCTCCTACAGACAGGATATTCGTCGGTAGGAGTACTTAGAGGCCTAAATGGATATCAGATGTAGCTAATATTTAGTGATTATGTAGCAATACTATAGCCAAAACACTTCGCAGTCCTTTGGAGGAACTCATCGTATAATACTTAACTTTTTAGGCTTCTCTTCATACCCAACCGCAGCTGGAGCCAAGGGGCTCAAAGTGCCCCTCTCTCAAGGCCCCCTCTAGGCATGGCTCACATGGGAACCGCACATCCTAGGAAGATCTTTAAAGGGTCATTAGGAGCCTTGGTGGCATCCATAAGGCTCATTAGTATAAATTTATTTCCGTTTGGGGTTAGTTTTCTGGCTGGTGCCCATGACAGAACAAAGCAAACTGCCATTTCAGTGCCCTGAGCATCTATATTGGAGATTTCACATGGCGTAAAAGGCCACACATGTGGGGCCCCTGGGTTTCTCTAGTTGACTCTGGGATAGACGTCGGGGCACTTGGGGACACAGCGAACCGTAACTCCATGGAGCGTTTGGAGGAATCCCTAAGGGGCCATATACGAGGCAGTGCGAAACTTAAGTTTTGGTTTTAGAGCTTACGGTTGGGTTGTAGGTTTGAGGGTCGAGTGTGTGTGCGTGCAGGGAGTTTGGCTACCTTCTTTAATAGTCCCCAGGTCGTTGTGCAAGTCAAGCAGCACATACAGGAGCTCCTTGTGTACCCTGTTTGCATTGCAGCTGCAACAACTACAGCTGCTGTTGCTGCAGGTGAGACAGTAACTACAACAGAAAAAGAACACACACATCCATCGTTCCAACACCTCCCGTTGGTGCAAATTCCCCGGAAAGAGAGCCCCTCCCCCGCAGCCAAGCCTGCAAAATCCTCATAGCCCTCACCCTAAATCGTAAAGCCTTTCACAGTGCAGCAGGCATGCAAAGGATTCGCTGGTATTACGGACGCGGCGCAGGTGCCTTCAAGCACAAAACAGTAAAATGCGATGTTCATCCCTGAACACTTACTGTTTCCCAAGTCTCCATCGTGTGCACAATTTGTGGTGTACCCCCGAATACCATCGTACGAAGTATCCGTCTCTTCCCTGGCTAGGTGCACCCTGCCTCCTACGGAACTTCTGTCTGCGAATCAACTCAACTCAATTGCAGTAGCAAGAACGCGGCGAAAGCAGACAGTTTTGGTTGACGACGACGGAAGCTGTTGCGGCTGCACAGATTCATTAAGTGCCCCATTGCAAGAGGGAATCAAGGAGAATTCCAAGCCGTACGTGTTCACTAAAGGAATTTCGGAGCATAGGTTCTTTCACCCGACTCTCCTGTAGGCAGTAACCAACAAAAGACAAAGAGTGCAGCATTCAGCGAACACTGCAAGCTGGCAGCAGGGAGGAAGTCCCCAGGATTAGCTGAAAATATGTTGTTGCGTCTGCACTTAGTCAAACACAGAAACAGAGACAAAACGTATGCAAGAGGAGAAAATGATCATTTTAAGCCGACGAAATCTCCTGGATGTTGCCGCGAGCAGTTGCAGCGGCCGCTGCTGCAGCTGCTGCAGGAGCAGCAGCAGCAGCAACAGCACGACGACGATTTACCCGCGTGAACTTGAACTCTTTGGAGTTAATTTCATCTGCAGAAATAGACTCATTAATTCCTTCTTCCTCCTTAAGGGCGGACACCAGGACCGTCGACAGCAAGCTGCACAGCACAGGACAGCGGCTCCTCTATCAGACCTCCCACCCCAGCAAAATGGATGAGGAATATGATGTGAGAGTTCACTGCCTATGCCCTCCAAGCTATCTACGGCACTGGTAGCTGCGGACTGCTGTTGCTGCTGGAGCAACTGCGTTTAAATCAACAGCCACCACACCAGCAGCAGAAGCAGCTTCTCAGTTATATAGGGAGAACTCCAGGGAAACCGATTGCCTTTACCACATTCCCTAGACCCTCCCGTTGCCCCTTATTCAACGAAGAATGATTTTGTGCCTTTGATGTTGTGCTGCTGCTGGGACCAAGCAGCAGGCCCAGCAGCGACAGCACCAGCAGAACACGCACCGGCAGCACCAGGACGGAGCCTGCATGCTTTCTGGTGTTGGCTATTCAAACGGCTTTGTAGTTTGGCCAATAACGTTTCTGTTGAGGGGCATGTGGGGCAGACCAGCTGTCGGAGGCTTTGTTACACCTCACACTTTCTTGTATTCTGCACTTTTTCCTGCTTTGTCATCTGTCTTTGGGTGTGGGGTTTATGACGAGCCCATATTAGGATCGGCATTGGCGTTAGCGCTGGGATTGGATAGTCGTGTTAGACGTTGGGGTTTGTGTTTTGGGTCGGGCTTTCGTTGCAGGTTGTGGTTTGCGGCACGGGCCTAAAGGAGTGCATCTTAAGCGGTTTGCTTTCTTCTGCTGGGAAAAAAGTTCTGCATTTAGATCGCAACAACTACTACGGAGGCGATGGAGCTTCTCTCAGCCTCACGAATCTGTACAACAAATTCAAACCCGGTAGAGAGCGCCCTACAGGTCACCGAAAAAAATGATCGAACGTCAACTCTGAACCCAATATCCTCCACTAAACCCCTAAACAAAACCCGAAAACCTAATGCGAAATCTAAGCAGTCAACCCTAGTGCGGACTCTACCTGGGCTCTTAGAAATTGAACCCTCAACGTCAACCCCAGCGCTTCTGACCTTGCCATTGTGTCGCTCTGTCAGTTGCGCCGCAGAGCTTTGAACGCACTGCTGCTGCTGCTGGATGCTCCTTTGTCGAAATTCAGGCACTTCACCGCCACCTGAGTATGGATCGAACAGAGACTGGAACGTGGACTTGATTCCTAAGTTTGTCATGGCCTGCGGAAAACTCGTGAAAATCCTCCTTAAGACTAAGGTCACAAGGTACAAAGGGAACAAGGGTTCAGTGTTTAGGGTTCAGCCATTGGTATTTAGGACTTAGGGTTTAGGGTTTGGTGTGTTTGTATTTGGCAACTTCAGGTACCTAGAGTGGCAGGTCGTGGAGGGGACGTTCGTTTATCAGTATCAGAAGGCCGGTTATTTCTCTAGCGAAAAGTTCATTCACAAAGTAAACATCTGCTGCCGTCTTCCTGCTGCTAATTGCGGGTCCATGCTGCAAGTGCTGCGGCTGCCTTTTCTACTTTTGTTGGTTCGGGCCTAAGGGTTTGGGGTTAGTTGACACAAGGATATGTGCAGTGTCCGGGGAAAAAAGTCGCGTCTGTAGGTTGTCTTGGGAGTTGCGGTGTGTGTACACGTGGATATGCAGGTGCCAGCGACGGAGTCCGAGGCGTTGATGTCCCCCCTAATGCCCCTCCTGGAGAAGAATCGCTGCCGCTCCTTCTTCGCTTATTGTGCTCAGTGGGAGGCAGACAAGCCAGACACGTGGAGGGGCTTCGACCCCAAGAGACACTCTATGGAACAGGTGAACCCGTGGACATCCGCAAACGTATTTAACAGAATGTATACCACATGCATGCAACTGACCTTGCGTGAGTAAAGGATGATGCATGCACGGCTTATTTTGCAAACGTGCGGCTGATGGGTGTTTGGGACCTAGATGTTGTTGGCGTGGGGCAGCTGCGCGTGAATGCGAGCCTTTGGGCCCGGAATGATTTGTTGGTGTTGGCAGCCGCATGGATGCACGCTTTATGCTGGGTTTCAGGTCTACAAGTACTTTGGGCTGGAAACAAACACGATTGACTTTGTAGGCCACGCGGTGGCTTTGTACCCAAGCGACGAGTGGGCAATGCGCTCTTTGCAACAGAGCTTTCTGCGTTTGTTTGGCACTTTGTTGCAATTTTCTTCTTTTCGGTTGCTGGTCGCCGCTCTTGCCAGAGGGAGGTTTTCATTATGTTGTTGCTAGGGGGGTTGCTGCTTGTACGACCAGGTATCTGAAGCAGCCCATGCAGGAAACGATGGAGAGGATCAAGCTGTACATGTATTCAGTTTCCCGCTACGGCAAGTCCCCTTTCATCTACCCAGTATACGGTCTTGGGGGGTTGCCTGAGGGCTTCAGCCGCCTCTGTGCCGTTAACGGAGGCACCTACATGCTAGGGGCACCCGTGGAATCATTCGAGTTGGACTCGGAGGGAAGGGTCTGCGGAGTCAAAACAAAAGACGGACAGGTAACATGTATCAGGCCGCAAAGGCACCGTGCTGATCTTAGCCGCAGGGGTTTAGGTGTAGGAAACCGGAGAGCTGGAAACTTTTAGTTCAGCGCTTAGCAGAGGGAAAGGTTTACAGATGAGAAAAGGGGAAGGTTTAGCGGTAAACGCCCGTCAAGTTGACCCATTTCCCTTTGACTCTTGCATTTAGCGTGTAGGCTTTGGGGTTTACTGTTGGGGGCACAAGTTTAGGAATTGAGACAGGCTGTTTGTCTTAATTGAGAGTGTAACAAGGTTAGGGTTTTGTCTGCGTTATACCTGATATTCTTCTGGGGGCAAAGCGCAAGTAGCAGGCGTGTGCCAAACACCAGAGAGAGGCTGCATCAGGGGTTGCATAAGGGAGTGCGCATGGATTTACAATTTTGCATGAAAATTTGTTAGGAGCTTGCTTGGGTATGCAGGTGGCGCGTTGCAAGATGGTGGTTTGCGACCCATCTTACGTGCTGGAACAGTTCCCCTCCCGTCTGAGATGTACAGGCAGAGTTATACGGTGTATATGCATCTTGGGTGCCCCTGTGCCGCACACCAACGGCAGCACCAGTTGTCAGATAATCATTCCTCAGAGACAGCTAAACAGACACAACGATATTTACATAATGGTGGTCTCCAGCCCCCACGGAATCTGCCTAAAGGGGAAAACAATTGCCATTGTCAGCACTACCGTAGAGACAGACGATCCAGAAAGGGGTCCGCACACCATCTAGGGTTTGGGGTTTGGGGTCTCGGGTTTAGGCTCAAGGCAGCGAATCACCCACGCACACAACCACAACAGCACGGGACAACAACAGTACAGACAGCATCGACAGCGACAGCCGCTCTTTGGAGTCATAAGCACTCTTTTCTTACTGTTAGGTTTTTAGCTTTGCTTTTACTCGGTAATGGAGACGATTCGAGGTGTATGAACGGCGGAGGGGAGGCCTTTGTGTTGTTCACGGTCGCTCCTGTGCCGTTGAACTTTACCCTCTCATGGGCGCTGCTTCTGGGCCTGCTTGTTTATTTCTGCTGCTGTTAATTGCAGAACTGGATCCAGCTTTGAAGCTGCTTGGTAAAATTGAGGAGAAGTTTGTGGCGGTGAGCGACATGATGGAGTGTACAGACGACGGAAGAGACAGCAACATTTTCGTCTCCAAGTCATTCGATGCCACTTCACACTTCGAGTCTGCCACGCAAGATGTGTTGAAGATGTGAGTTGAGTGGGGACGAAGGGAGACAAAAAGAGAGTGAATCACGATAGAGCGAGAGAAAGCGAGAGGAGAAATAGGCATACATTCACACAGACAGAGAGAACCAGAGGAGAAATGAGAACACGGTCATGGGACAGAAGACCGGAGACAGTTCCGAAGAGACAGTAGAGAGAAAATAAAGCAGGAAGAAGAGGAGCAGGGTTAAAAACAGAGACACAGACAGTTCCTGCAAAACAGAGGAGAAAGCGATGTCCGACAGGCAGAGCACGACAAATAGGAAACTTATGGGAAGATTATGGGTGTTCGGACATAGAAGCAGTAAGGTAGAAAGGAGTGCAGATAAGTTCAAACGGTCGGAGGAGGGAGGCACAGATAATAGTCGGTGAGGCGGGCAAAAGGCCTGCATGCAGTGCATTCAGTGCTGCGGCCTCATTCTTTTTGTACAAGTATCGGGAACGGAGTTCTTCAGAAGGATATTTTGCGGAGGAACATGCGGAAAACACAGAATATAAGTAATATATTTTGAGGGTAGAAACGTATATGCACTGACAAGAATATGGTAGACCTCAGAGGGTTGCTCTTGTATGGTGCGGTGACGACAATGAATTATTTTCAGGTTCTTGCGGTGTACATGCAGGTGGGAAGATATGATGGGAGCTCCCTTGGATTTGTCCACGAAAGCGGATCCGGAAGATTTGCAAGAGCAATAGGACGAAAACACCCGAATTCTGAAGAAGAGGGTTGTCGACACCTGCTGCGGCGGCCGGCCGTTGCTACTCTCATTAAAATCCTCTCCAATGCTGCCTCTCTGCAGCTGTTGCCTGGGGCAGCCCCAGTACAACAGTACACGTTGCACCGGATGCTGCTCTTTCACATACTCGCATCAGTGGCTACTGTAGCACACAAATGGCAGAACACTGACGGGTTGTGTCTGCACCAAGTGCCTGTGGGGCTCAGGGTCTCCCTATTCATTTCGGGGGCCTTGCGCTGTCTGTCTTTCCGTCTGTACACTTGGAGTTTTCTTTACATTTCACTTCGAAGTTAGAGTCGCAGCAGCAGCTGCTGCGCGTACACTTGGCATATCGGAAACAGCGTCAAAAGCATAAAGGCATGCAAATGCTGATCATAGCTGCCGCTGCTGCAGGAGCAGCAGCAGCTGCTCCTGCTGCAGCACATATATTGCAGCTGCAGGAGCGGCAGCCGTAACTGCTGCTGTAAATACCTGAAGACTCATCTGTTACTGCATTAGATGCTGCAGCACATGCATGCAACGGCAGCGTACTGTCGCAGCTGCTGCCGCAATTATAATAAACAAAACCGCAGCGGATGACGTCAGCACCGCAGCCACCTGCTGCTGGTGCTGATGGTAAGCTGAAGCTGCTGCTGCGGCAACAGCTGTAGCCAGTGACACAATACAAAAGCTGACAGCACGCCCAAGTGCGGTGAGGTAGGACATGCTGTTACAGCAGCCTCAAGTTCGGTAGCAACTGCAGCAGCAGCTACCGCGCCAGCTGGAGTACATGATGTTTAAAATCCCCTCACTTCTGAGTAGCTTCCTGCCATGAGCTCTTGGTCGAATTTTGCTTCGGTCCATTCGGTGCCGGTGAGGGGGGGCAGCGACTGCAGCTGTCTGCGAAGATTCACTGCATGTCTGCTGCTCTTGCAGTGCTCACGCAGCTCAGCTGCATCTTTCATGGCCTCGTTACAACAGCGACACCGGAAGACCCGCTGCTCCTCGGGCTGCGGCAGCCCCTCCTGTTGCAGGCTCTGCGAAGAACCAGCCACAGACTCCTGTCCCTGCTGCCGCGGCTGCGTATCCTGGCACAGCAAATTGAATGCATCTCGTGTTAGGCTATCTTCGAATTCAGGAGGCTGTTGCCGCTGTTGCTGCCGCTGCTGTTGCTGCTGCTCCCGCTGCCGCTGATGTTGCTGTTTCCTCAGCTGTCTTTGCTGTTGTTTCTGAAGCCGGCGCTGTTGCTGTTGCTGCGGTTGTTGCTGCGGTTGTTGCTGCTGTTGCTGCTGCTGTTGGGCAGCCCTCTCCTGTTTCTTTTGTTGCTGCTGCAGCTGTCTCCTCCTTGAGTGTTGCTTCGGCCTGCATAAGCCCTCGAGAGACGGCACCTGATTCTTGTCTCTCTGATGAGTGCATGCAGCAGCGTGCAGGGGACAAGGGCTTCCTAAACTGCTGCTGCGCAGCCCAGCATAAAGCAGTATCCCCCGCCTCTGTTGCTGCTGCTGCTGCCGCTGCTTCCTCCCGCCCCGCCCCTTTCGCTGGGCTCGGGTCTGCGTGTCTTCCCAGGCATCATCGCCAAACTCGGCGCAGCAGCAGCAGCATAACGGCTCCTTCCCATTTTCGCTGCTCGCGCTGCTGCTCCTACTGTTGCTTTGGCTCCTGCTCCTACTGCAGCAGCAGCTCCTGGAGCAGCTCTCGCATGCTTCCTCAGGATCAGGGTAGACGGTCAATGGCCCGAAGCCGAACTCGTCTATGATGCTTTTTGTTGTGTCCACCTGCTGCTGCTGCTGCTGCACCTGCTGCAGCTGCTGCTGCATCTCCTCCATGTTGAAGCTCGGATCTTCCTGCTGCATGTTGTGCTGCTCAATGAGTTCTAGCTGGCGTTCACACTGCTGCTGCCTCCGTAGCTGGTATCTCCTCTCTTCTTCTTCTTCGCGCCGGCGGAGCCGCTGCAGCTGCAGCTGCACCATCTCCCCTTCTAGGTATTCTTCTTCTAAGATCTGCCGCTGCAGCAGACGACCATGCAGCCGCGCTTGCTCCTGCTTCATGGCTTCGCTGACGCGTTGTTCTTCTAGCCGCTGCTGCTCCTCGTCCTGCTGCTGCTGCCGCAGACGCCGCATCAGCTTTCTGTGCTGCGCCTTCTCCGCCCGGCGTTGCTGTTCCTTTCCCTGTCTCTCTCGTTCCTCCTTGGCGGCTTCCTCCTGTTGTTGAAGCTGCTCCAGCATCTTCTGCTGCTCCTGTTGCTGCCGCCTCTGCTGCTGCAGTAGGTGCTGGTCTTGCTGCGGGTCGTACAAACAATTCCAAGTCGCCACAGCCAGAGACCCTCCCGCGTCAAGCACCTTCTCCTCAAGCTCCCTATACACTCCAGGTGAGGCCAAGAACGCAACGCGCCACTGGATTGGGGTTGATGCTGCTGCTGCGTCCGCCTCACCTCCCTGATGCTGCTTCTGCTGAAGCAGCAGATCCACAGTGGGATCCTGCGACTCAATGAAGCCAGCACAGTCGCGAAGAATAAAGTGAAGCATGGAAGCTGCAGCAGCAGCTGGAGCCGCAGGAGCAGCAGCAGTGGCAGGAGGAAGCGGCAGCAGCATGGTGAGCTTCATTAGGCGACGCCGGATCTGCTGGGGGTTGTGCTGCTGCAATAGCAGCGCTGCATGCAGTGCCTGAGCCTTTGCTGGCTGCTTCAGCCTCACAGCAAACCCCAGTTCTTTTAGCGCCGAAGATACAGCTGAACGAGACAATGGCAAACCCGTTACAGCAGAATATGTCAGGTCGACAACACACGAGACAACATCGTTAAACATCTGCTGTAACTGCTGCCGACGCTCCAACTCCGACACTTGCAAATCCCCTGCGGAGGCATGCAGACAAACCATATAAACCTTAATTGGAACCACAGAAAACCTTAACAGGAATAATAATAAATCAACGATACAGAATTATGAAATGAGCCGAGACTGATAAACAACACAACCGCAACAGTAAACAATGGACCTTTAACACTAAACAATTCCCAAATCACCTTTCTCGAGGATCCTCAAAATGCAGGTCTTCTGATCATCGGTCCCGAAGTACCGCTGCAATTCCGCCTTTCGAGCCAACTCCCCCTTTGCAACATTTTGAAACACGACGTCCACTTGCAGCACCTGCGCACCACCCGCAGCACGGACAGTGGGCCGTCAACGCTTGTCCACGCAAGGCTGCAGCAACTACCATGATTACGCCTGCAGCCACAGAAGCAACAGCTGCTGTTACAGCTTCTGTGGAGCCCAGTGTGTGGCGGGCCTCTGCTACGGCAGCAGCTCCTGTTGCACGCAGAGTCCACACACAGAGTCCAAAATTATTTCATGTTCTACTAGGGGTTCTGTGAGCTTGCCTCATTCAGATCGGTCTCCTTCCCTGCCGCAACAACGTGTACAGACACCGCAAGCAAAACACCAGCAAGGGCTATACCACAGATGCTCATACAGGAATAGACGCTCCTTGGTGAGGTGCATACGGCTCCGAAACGGCTACAGCTCTCTGGTATGCCCGTGCCTCTCGTGTTGTGCTTCTGCTGATGTCTACGTGTGGATAACTGGAGCCTCCAGTTATGTGGAACCCCGACAATATTGAGCATTTTAGAAGCCTTGGCTTAACATGCAGGAAATCGGCTTGCCTTCTCTCCAGTTGAGGACTTTGTTTTTGTAGCAGGCAATCTCGAAACGCTCCCCCCCGAGTTTGAGGCGCACGACGGCGACGTTGGTGAGTCGCACTTGCGTGACGGGTTGTTTTAGAGCCATAATTTCAGAGGCTCAGAACAAAAGCAAGGAATTCAAGCTTTTGCGTTTGTAGTGCAGAGTATTCCGACAATGAAGTAGAAAGAAGAAAGAAGAAACAGGAAACACGAGTCGAAACAGCCAAGAAAGCAGGAAAACTGCTGTTGAATCACTTAGACCCAAATAGAGCTACCTTGGGCCGAAAATGCGGCCTAAATCGCAACTTTAGCGTTCTTCCTCATACACCGATGTATTCTTGCATATTTCCAACAACTACACGCAAAAAACAACTATTAAACAGACAGTTAGCCATCGCGTGCATGCAGCTGCGGGGCTGACGCGGTCGCGCTTCAAATGATGAGGTGTGCGTGCGGCGGAACAGGCAGCCGGCCTCCTTGAGGCCTTCCAGACCGCTTTCTGGGTTAGTTTTGTCTTTTGTTTGTGTTAATGTTGTACGACAATTGAGCACGCCAATTGTGTGACTGTGTGAAGCCCAAGTATAGCAAAAGTGCGCCATATTGCTACTGTAGTGCACGGGCACTACACTGGCTCGCCCTGTGAGCTCCTAACGGCCTTCCCATTGCGTAGAAATAGAAACGATATCATATAATATTAGTGATGATTCACAGCATTTAGCCATTAAATAAGGCAAACGGGCTACGAGCAACAACAACCAGCAGGTTTATGGGGCTGCCTGGGTCGCCGAAGAACTGACCCACCTTGGGGGGTCACGGATATATTTATGCTTCCCTCGTTTTGTTGGTGTTGTGTGGACTTGAATGTGTTTTGAGGCTAAATGTGTGGATGTAAGGCATTGTCGTGTTGTTTATCGGACTGCAATTAGGTAGCAACCCGCAGGACTATACGTGGTGTTCGTAGAGGGTCGGCTAGAGCACTACAGCTGCTGTTTGGTGAGAGGCTTTGGGTAGTGAACGGCAGTACGGTCCGGCTTGTTTGTTCTATGTTGGTCTTGTTAGACTTCAGAATCATAAATGATTTCAATGCAGCAAATTTTAATGTGTCTGGCCTCGAGATATCTTGCATAGAGTACATACCGGCGTACAACCCCTAGCTGTGTGTGGCTAGCTTGGGGCGAGATATCTCGATACCCATTCAAAGACTATTGCGAGGTACAAGATTTATGTGGAATCCTCTAGTCACTCTCCTCAGCCTCTAGGCGTTGTGGCATGGTAGCCAGGGATCCTGTAGCGCAGCTAACGAGGGCAGCCTACCATGCGTTGCAATGCACTTGCTGCAGGCCAAGGTACTAGACAGTTTCACATGCAGATCCAGCAACGCCTTCCTATGTTCATTCAGCAACACTGTAGACACTTGTTAAAGAAAACGTCTTCGTGCGTGCAGGTTGTCTGCGCACCAAAGCCGAGTGTCTCCAAGGTCTCACAGGGGCGCTAGCCAGACAGAATTTGCTACATGGCAAGAGTGCCTCGGGATTCAACTGAGTCAGAGACTCGTGCCACAGTGTATATTAGCCTCATCGGAACTCAACGAAGTGGCTGAGTCTACATCCTTAGCTTCTACTCCTCTAGAACCTCTTCTCGGTGTCCCACCGGCCTCCGGTGGTTTCCCAGGAGTGTGTTTGCTACAATGCTGCCTCGTGTTGCTTCTCAGGAATGTTCTGCTATCCTGAGTGCAGCTAATTCAGACCCGCTTTGCCCTTCTGGAGTGCAAGACGGTTGTGTCTACTGGTTTGCACTGTCCTACTATCCTGGCTGTGTGTTATGTCCCTCTATCGGGGTCTTATTGCGCAGTTGTGCTGTGACGCGTGCACTTGCTACTCGTGTTCCCCACTCTTTCGCCCCTACAACTACGTTACTTCTCCTCTCTCTCCGCAATTAAATTATTCTGTGCCTCCTGCTAAACTACGACTCTATTTTTCGCTCTATATTTCTGTCGCTTTTGCCTGCTTGGGGTTGTTTGGGCATTGTGTCGTGTTACTTGCGCCACTTCCTAGGTGGGGATAAATTGTACAGTGAACAGGGTGGTGTGTGCATGAATTAGTACTTGTGTAGCCCTTCATAGTATATAGTGTACCACTGCAGGACTCGTATATTAGCACACCCCCTTACCATTAGGTACTTAGTGACTAGCACACTAAGCGCGTTGTAGGTAATGATGTGTCTACAGGTGATACATAGTGCTGGTGCTTGTTGTGAGGGCTTACCGCTACATGCGCGTCCGTGTGCCTTTACGCTAGGCCATGGGCTGTGTATATAACCTGCTGCCGTCACATGGGGTGCTCCTGCTCCCCCTTACCCCCCTCCACAAGGCAGAAGACCGGCGACAGCTGACTAAGAGGGAGGTGGGGGAAAGAAAAAGGGAAAAGAGGGTGGCGGACCAGGGCGGACGGCGCTTCCGCTGACGGCGCCGCCAGGCTCGCAGCAGTGCGCGGCAAACCCCTAAATGGCTAGCGGGTTCCCAGGTGGGGCGCCCCGGAGGCGCGCCCCACCTGCCCGGAGGCGCGCCCCGCCACATGACCATATAGTGGGCCTCGTCGCCGGACCCTCGCTTGTCCATGATGTAGTCGATTTCATACTGATCCATGGGATTGCCTGCAGAATCTCGGGTGGGGTGCCACCGCACAACAGCCTCCTGAGGCTCCAGCTCCTGGGCGCCTGGGCGGTCAGGAACTAACTGGGAAAAATGAAAGACATCAGGGCATTCGTACGTAGGAGGTAACGCCAGGCCGTCAATGCGTTCAGCAATAGCGAAAGGTCCATGGAAACGGGGTTCAAACTTAGGGCATGTGTTGAGGGCGGGAATGTGCTTGCTGCTCAGCCAATCCTTGTCGCCAACCGCATACTCCACTGCGCGGCGGTGTGTGTCTGCGTACTGCTTCTGTTGACATTTTGCCCTCAGGATGTGACTTTGCGCCCGGTCGCAGAGCTAGCGGAAGAGCGTCGTCATCGGCGGCGTAAGGGTAGGGCAGAGAGCGCCGACGACAATCGAGGTCTGCTACGGTCAAGGGGTTCTCGCTATTATGATCTCGAACGGAGAGAACTCAGTGGAAGGATGGCTTGTTGTGTTGTACGCTAGCTCAAAGGCAGGTAACAATCTCTCCCAGTCGCGTTCATCCGATTGAATGTATGGGCGCAGCATTTGTTCGCGCGTGCGGTTCACTCGTTCAGTATGGCCGTCGCTCTGGGGGTGATAGGAAGACGGTAAAGCGAGTTTGATGTTAAAACGATTACACAGATGGTGCCAAGGATCAGACTCGAAATAGGGATCGCGGTCAGAGATGAGTGCGTCAGGTAGCCCACGGCAACGTATAAGGCGGTCGGCGAGTACATCCACAGTATCTGCGGCTGTGAATCTCTTTTCGCAGGGACGAAGTGTGCCATTTTACTAAGGGAATCGATCAACGCCAGAATAGAGTCGTGTCCCGTTTTCGTAAGCGGGAGGTTGGTAATGAAATGCAAGATAACTTGGCTCCAGCGTCGGGAGGGAATAAGCTGTTGGAGGAGGCCAGCAAACTTTTGGTTGAGGGACGTGGAGGCGCGGTACTGTGTACAGGAATCCACTTAGGCGTTAGTGTAAGTGCGGATGTCAGGCCAACAATAGAGCTTGCTGCGAGACAAGAGCGTGTTCTGCCGACCCCGATGCCCTGCTGTTACGTGATCGTGATTGTCATATAGAATGTGTGTAAGGAAATCAGGAAACTGCGGAACACATATACACCGTAGACAGTGTATGCAAACGCTGAGGAACAGCTGACGAATCTCAAGGCGAGGAGGCGATTGCGGAATTCCACCTGGATGGTTGCACCGACTGCCTGAACTGCCGAATTGTAGGAGACCCGGAGAACGGGACACTTCACATAAGCTGCCGGCAAATCGAATGTTGCGGAATCGGCGGGCAGCAGTGGGAGGATGGCGGATGGCTCGGTGCCGTCAGGAGTAGAGGCGTCGGCCTTGGAAGAAACAGGTAGAGACTGTGGGCGAGGCCGACGCGTGCGTCGACGAATGCCAGCCAGCTGCCGGCAATTGACCTGCATCCCCTTGGTGTGATGAGCTGTATCTGGGTGTGCAGGACCTAATATAAGCGGGGCCAAGGACTTCGAGATAGGAAGCAGAGGTGAACTAGGCGGGAGGGATGCTGGTGAAGAGCAATGACAAAGAAGACGAGACAACGCATCGGCCACCGTACGCTAAGCACAGCCTGAAGATATCTGATAGTGAGATCGGGAAACTCCGGGAGGAAATCTAACCAACGGGCAGTGAGTCCCCGCAAGGGCTTGGACGTCACCGTAAGTGAGTACGAGCTTGATGGGCGAAAGACGTAAGACCACTTGGCTAGGGTGGTGACTAGGGCCAACAATTTCTGATCGGAGATCGAATATTTCTGTTGAACGGGGGTCATGGCCTGACTGGCGAACCCAATTGGCTTTGCGGCTTGTTCGAGTACGCCACCAATGGCCTAGCCGGTGGCATCGGCGTAGACATCAAGGCTTAAAGGTGTCGAGAATCTGGAGGGTGGTATAATCGATGAGTCATTGCCTGAGTTGGCGAACCACCGGTGTGTGGGGGGCTGTCCAATGAATAGGGGTGGCTTTGCGAGTCAGGGTAAGAAGGTGACGGGAAATGTCAGCATAATCGGGACCCACAAACATACGACAGTAATTAACACTACTTGGGAACTGCAGGACTTGGGTCTCGTTCTCCAGCACTTCTGGCCAGACCCGGATTGCTTCTATCTTGTCTGCTGCAGGTTTTATGCTTTCAGGGCTGACGTTATCGCAAATACGTAAGTTTCTGGCGCGCGAACTGGCGCTTGCAGAATTTCGGGAAAACGTATTAGTGAGAAAGATGCTCAGCACCTTGCGTAGAAGAAAAACGTGAGTAAGAAGGTCAACGGAATGTATGAACACCATCTAGGTATGCAATAACACCATGCCCTAGCAGGGGCTACAGGTAGGTATTCATGTTGGCTTGAAAGGTAGCGGGAGCACCCTTCAGGCCAAAAGGCATGACTTTGTATTCGAACAGGCCCAAGACGGAAGGGAAAGCTGTTTTCCAACGATGCGCTTTAGCCACGCGGATCTGGTGGAAGCCTGCCTCTAAGTAGAGAGCGGAAAAATACTTGGAGCCACCCAGGACCTCCAAAATCGTTTGGATCGTTGGCAACGGGAAGACAGGCGCAACCGTAAGCGCATTTAGGGAATGGTAGTTAACCACCATACGCATCTTACGCTCGCCTGTTCCATCAGGCGTATCGACCATGATTGTAGACGCGCAGAATGGGGAATACGTGAGACCGATCCATTCCTGGGCTGCCAGCTTGAGGATTTCCTGCTTGTGAAATCCCAGCTCTTCAGGGGTCATACGGTGTGTAGCAAATTTTGCTGGGATCTTGCTAGGGGCTAACAAGATGTGATGATCGTGTGGGCCTTTTGGTGGCAAGCTTGGTGGCAGGTTGCCACGGAAAACATGCCTATGCGTCTGCAGCACTTCACGTATTTTTTGTGGAAGGTCCTGGGACTCGGGTGACTGCAGCCACGTGTCGAAAAGGGTGAACCCCAGCTTAGCTGTATGCCCTGGCGAGTCTTCGTCAGCCGAAGCATGCGCCATATCTTAGGAGGGAGTAGGGTGGAGTTCCTGTGCCTGTGAATTGTCCTGTGTAATAATTGCACAGCACAAGACTCCTTCTTGATCCTCAGGTAACCTAAGGGCAACTGATTTGTCAACTCCGGGCAAAGCCGCAGTGGAATTCGTACTCCAGTGGTGTTGGCTTGCGCTCGTTCGATCAAGGTCTTGATAGGCACTTTGTTTCCAGGTTTGGTGCGTTGCTTAGTGCGCTTGGGAGGCGACCGTAGGAAGGCAGCGGCATCCGTTTCAGTCATCTAAGCCACTGGAATATGTGGACTCCTAGACTGCCCCAGTAGACGAATGCTAGACACGCAGAGGGTCTCACCAACAGCCTAAACTGTTTGCAGATGCAACCCAACAAAGTGCTCTCGTATTTGTATATGATACACCTTGTACTGCACCAGGTTACCTGCAAATGTCGGCAGCTTGTCTCTTCTCCCTATGCTCCAGGGCGTTGAAATACTAAAAGGAGTACGCCTGTAGACTGGGGGCAGGGGCTTGTTGCATCAAAAGAACTCTTATTTTTAACATTGCAGCAACTTTGGGCTTCAGAATAGTTCTACGATAAGGTAGTGGACCGGCGCTATAGCCACTGTGACCACGATGCCTGGGCACACTGCATATTGCGCTGGTACCTTTCTATTTAATAAATTTTGCTTTTTCTGTAATGGTAGCCTAAGGGTCTCATAGACTGGTGCGGGAGGTCATTGGCCTTAAAGAAACCCGTAAGATGAATGATTCGGTCACACTACAGCTCCTAATGGCCCTGGGACTAGTTTTGGGAATCTCCTCGCACGCTTGGGATATCATTGTCAGGGCGATGTAGCAAATTGGCGCATGAATTCTCAGGCATTCCTAGAAAGCAAACGACCCCCTAGCAAAACTACTCAACAACTCTCTAAATGTTTGTTCATGGAACCATGAAGGCTCACGTGTGCCTGTATATGATGCCCTCTTGAACCTTGAGGTGCACCAGGTTTCCTGCGCTTTGTCTGGTCTCCTGCAGCTTCATGAGCTCCAATTGCCCCTCAGAATGCCTGCAAACAGGCGGATGTTGGTTGAAAGAAACCATCACCCTCAGTATTTTGGCTCGAATTCATATCGCATTAGTTGCTTGATAAGATCCACGATCTGAATTACCCTGACCGGTGCATAAATAAGAGAGCAAATACGAAGGCTTCGGAAAAATTGGTGATAAGCTACATCAACACTACCAACGCGATACACTTGTTGAACCAAAAATTATGGAGTTTACAAGGAAAGACGCATATTGGACTTCGTTCCATGCCTAGCCCGAATGCCATCGTTCTCCAGGATGCACCAGTAAGCACAGCGGGGCCTCCCAACTGAAAGGTACAATCTTCGCCAGGCTTCCATTGATTGCAGCGCAAGCAAAAGGCGTACAACAAAAAACCGCCGTTCGATACGTTCACCTCTCTATAACGTTGAAGTTTGTATTCTTAGCGTGGCTGCGGAGAAGTGTTTCTTCCCTTAAGCAAAAATGTGCCTCTTGCATCTCATGATTTTTGTTTCAACATTTCCATTTTCAGTGGCGATGAGCGGTATGCATAAGCCACACGATGCATTGCGTGTACCGTCGATGAACAATTTAGCAGATGAAACAGCTGTTGTTTATGGCGGAGTTCCATTGCCGAACAGAGTGCGCGGCAACCATTCGCGCCTAACTGTACTGTCCTCGTTGTTGATATCGCTGGTTGTGGCTTTTGTCGTCGTTCGCTGTTTCATCGCCCTGAAGTCCCGTACATATGAACATGAATATGCTATAAATTCGCGAAGGCTTGCATTGGAAAATGACGGAGATTGCGCCGTGAGTATTCGCACAGTGGACCCTGTCGCATGTTTTCTCTGCGGGGGTCGTTTGAGAAAGGCCTTTAGGTACCATTAGTTTAATATCATTGTCGGTTTGTTGTGTTTCTATTGGTAGACTGTCGTTTTCCTTTTTTGCATCATAGAGGAGTGATCAACGCGATTCAGTAGGGGGATTTCTGTTGGACTACCACACTATGAACTTCTGGGAAACTAGGCTACCCTTTTACTCGCTGTAGATCTTACTTGCAAGTGCATGCATGCGCCTTCACATCATGGCGAGTTATTTACGTGAACTAGCCAAACCATAATCCGCAAGCGCTGGTGCCTGCAGTTAGGACTGTATATACGATGGAACTTGCATGCCAACCGTAAGGCTTGCCACTGCTTTGCTGCATTTACCGCTGCGTCGTTCAAAGCTGTGTACAGCTGTCCTTCAAATTTGGATATTACCAAAGCGCAGGAGACGGCTGCGCTCTGCTAATGCATCACTGGTTGAAGAGACCTTGTACTGCTTCACCGATAAGACTAATCAAGCATGTGAACTAGTGTACGGCTGAGCATAATCGAAGTAAGTGTGCTGCGTGCAAACGGAAATTTCGTGCGAAATGCCGGGGCAATCACACTACGGAGCCGGCCCACCAAACAGTAACAGGCTTTGCCAACGCAGTATATCTGGGTGTGTACACTGTATCTCAACATGATTCGTCCATGTGCTTCACGGTAGAGCACGGTTCAGCGGAGTCATGCAGATTGTTGGACACTTGTGGGAGGAATGCTTGGAACACCGCCTGTCTAGACGGGCATTATCGCTACAGCTTGAGGACAAAAAAGACTGGGTGGAGAAAAGACCGAGATGCTGCTTGTGGCCGATGCCGCAGACCAACCGCCAATAGATTTAGGACGGCGATATCACCACTTTGAGCAACGCTTGTTTCGAAGGAGAAATGCATTCATCAGTATGCGTTGTGCTTCTTGCACTTAGACCTTCCGCCCGCCGCACTAGGTTGCTCAACTGCTGATCGTAATGGGTTGGTGGGTACTTCGATGTATGGCAAACAGTGTGCAAAGGCTGCAGCTGGAATGCAGAGAACGATCGCCGAGGAGTAGGAGGGTTTGTCCAAGTTGCCCTTACCACGGTACAGCTCATTCCGCATGGTTTAGGGGTTAAGGATGGAAGTCAAAGTGTACCCCAGCAGCTGCAAGCGTTCATGCTGATTGCAGGCACCGACTGGGTCCCAACTATGGCTTATTTGCTTGTGCTGGTGAGCATGGAGTAGCTCACTGGTCACCGAGGTATAGTGTGAGCCGTGGATAAGTACTGCACTGCAGCCGTCCAAATGCGCTACGCGTTCACGTTGCGGCCCAGGAGGAGTGTATGAGAGGGGCGAGGAGCACTAAACTCTGCTATACAGGTTGTAGCATGATGCCGCGCATTGCTGGAGGGTTGAATGGTTTGAGGTTTGGCGTAAGGGGGTTCCATAAGGTTAATAGTCGCAATTGGCAAAAGACTGACGTGTTGTAGGCCTGAATAAGTAGTGACGAGAATGAGGGGTCAATTTGCTCGAGAATGATTGTATCGTATGTCCATCTTATATCGTATCGGTGAAGGGGCAAGGCAGCGCGTGTGAAGGGATACGGGGTAGATATTGCTAGTCTTGCCGTTCCTGGGATCTTTGCAGCCATCCTCTGTGAAGCATTTGCAGGGAGTGGTCGAAGGCAGTGCTGGGGGTTGTGCAGGCAAAGGCACGGCTTGCACCATACTTATCGGCCACCCTCGCGTACGGCTGTGCAATGCTGCTCTCAAGTGCCAGCTGATTTAAGCCAACGAGGCGGGTGCACCGGTGTCGACAAGGCTGCATGCCCTGCAAGGTTGAGAACGGGTTGTGTTGAGCGCTTACAATTTGGTGATCATGGGCTGTTTCCCTGTGTCGCTAACAGGAACATGAGCCATAGCGGATTGGTGCAGGCCCTTTGACAGCTCCGCGCAGTTCCCTTAGAGGTACACTGCCTGGGTATGCTGCTCCCACGTGCGCAGAGATGTGTGCACGAAGGGATTCCAAGCATGCTAGTCTCTCACGGCAAAATGCTACTTGGCGACAGAATCTTTGCAGATATACACGGATGATTAGTAGTGCCTAAGCAATCCGACGACTTGCTTGTAAAAGTAGTGTAAACCTGTGGAGCTGGTAGCGGTGAGAGTTCCTCAAAATACAAGATTGTCTAAGTGTACGCTCCGCTGTCTCGTGACATGCTCCCTTATATCGTTTTGTCGTAGAGCTAAGCGTATACAGCAGACATAACTCGGCATTGATACTGGCACCTTTGCATCATAACCACAATGCGTGAGATTACCGGTGTAGAGCGAAAAGCTGCGAGCAATATGATTGTTCCCACACACTGCTGATACTCACATACACACCAGCACATATATGCTTTCTCACGATGTTCCTAAGCAACATGGAGCACTTTAATAGTGGATTCCATGTGAACAGTCACAGCCACATCAACATGTTGGAGATGTGTCGTCCGAATGCGACGCTGGCGACAGTGGACGGTTGTTCGGACAACAGTCTCCAGAATTCTGCACACGTCGCTGGATTAGTGCATTCACAGAATGTCGTGCAGCAAGAGGTGTGTATGAGAGGTACCAAAGGCGCAGAACTGTACAGTACAAAACCTGATGATACACTGTTGCATGCATGAGTATGTACATAAGGGGCGTATTTGTTGTTTACTGTTAAGGGCTTTGCGTTCGAGATGGCATCTTGTTAGATATCCGAAAAAGTGCCGAGAGGTCGTTCAGTGTCTATGAGAAGGGTGGTGCACTAGCTGCGAATGCCACTGCATATGTGAAAAGCACAGGAAGTGTGTCTGTGGAGGGCTATTGCGCAGACAGGAGTAGTCTTGCAATAGTGGAGGTTTTTGGGACACTTGGAGGCAAAAGGTGTGCCGCAGGTGTAGAGCGCTGTCGGAGGCAGCCCTCTACAGTGTAAAAGGGCAGTGGTGTGCACCACGTATCTTGTTGGCGGTGGATGCGAGTTGGTCGTCAACTGATTAGTTGCTTGGAAATTGTCTAGGACAGTGGAACAGTCGTTGGTTAGCGAGGCGAACGAGTCGATACGAACTCAACAAGGCCGTTGCGGCTGCTGCAA